AAATAGAAGTTAAAAAATATCTAGAAAGAAGTAAAACTTAGAAAGACAGAGAGAAATAATTCTGCTATGCACTTTCCATCAGGTGTATTGAGATTTACTTATAAGTTTTACTGCCATGTATGCACACTGGTCACTAATCACACGCCAATATTATAGGTATAACTGATATCCTATGTCAGAGGCGATCTTCCAGATGGGCCTTTACAGGCCTCAGCCATGTAGCTATAGATGTTGTCTCCCAACACATGTACACACATTTCATTGGTGTCATTGCCAAACACATCTTTCTCAGTCATCAGCAACCCAAGTGCAATGTGTTCCCCTGATACAATTGCGGCTGGTCTTGGACTCCATTGTAGTTGGACCTACAGTAGCCAAGGGCAAGGACTCTCAACCTTGGCTGCACATTAGAAACACTTGGGAGCTTTTAACTTACACCAGTACCCAGCCCTATGCCCAAAGAATCAGTAGTCCATGTTGAGACCCAGGAATCAGTATTCTTTCAAAACTCTCCTGTTGATTCTTTTTTTTTTTTTTTTTTTTTTGAGTTGGAGTCTCACTCTGTCACTCAGACTGGAGTGCAGTGGCCACTCCTGGCCACCGCAGCCTCAACCTGCTGGGCTCCGGTGATCCTTCTGCCTCAGCCTTCCAGTTGCTGGAATTACAGGCATGCACTACCATGCCCAGCTGATTTTTTGATTTATTGTAGAGATGAAGTCTCGCCAAGTTGCCCAGGCAGGTCTCGAACCCGTGGGCTCAGGCAATCCACTCACCTCAGCCTCCCAAGGCATGGGATTACAGACTGAGCCACCGAGCCCAGCTTGCTGTTGATTCTTTTGTGCAACCATGATTGATGAACCACAGCCCTTTGGATACCAGACAGAACTAAATCCTCACAACTGACAACATTGATGGATGGAGAGTACTAGAACTGAAGACTAGAGCTGTTTCAGCCCAGCTGTACTACCAGCAAAACCATACTCCACCCCACCATTTTAACAGAATTGAATAAGCATTCTTTGCCTCCTTCTGTAATACACTTCGCTTTCTTCTCCCTCCTTGGGAGGCATTTCTCTCATCCCTGTCACAGATCTCTGGGCTCTTGGGATGTGCCCCTCCTTTTGCTCAGAGTGTGGGCTGAGGCAGAACACAGACTATATAAATGAGACCCTCACACAGCCAGATTCTCCCTAATAGGGCCAGCTTTTCAAAGGAGAATGGCAGGCAATGGAGCAGAGAGTAGGGATTTATCCTCAACCGAGTACCAAAAAAATGTGTTTGGCAAACTGGAGCCTTTTCCTGGCTGTAGATCTGAAAGACAAGCTCACAGACAACTTATTTTTCCATCCCAAGATGGTGTGATGGGGTCACCACTGCTCTGAGATGAGTTTTTAATTTTCAGCAACAATCTAATTGATCCTGTCCAGTGCCTGTTCTTTTTTCTGACAATCTGCTTTTGCCTCAGGGTCAGTAGCTGGCAACTAATATCCACTAGAACTGAAGCACCCAAATTATCATAAAGGCTGAGCTAATATCCTTCTGCAGATGCTATCACAGGCAGAAAGAAATTGAAAGGGAAGTCCTACCATGGCCTGGCAGTAAGCAGCTACTGTTAGGTCCAAACTCCATGCTTTAAAGTTTGGTTCAAAATTCCTGGAAAATTTGGCTTGGGGCAAGATAGGAACCCAAAAGATGTCCCAGTTATTTTTAGTTTCCCTTTTTGTTGTAAGATAGTTAAGAATATGCGGCAGAACTAGATCTCATGCTTTCAGTATTTGATAACCATAACAGTCGTCATTTATTAAGGCCTATGCTGAGTGGTTTACATGGTTTTTCTAATTTATTCCTCAAAACAATTATTGTTCATATGAAAAAAACTGAGTCTGATTAAGTAACTTTTCCAAGGTCACTCAGAGAGTTAAGTGGTAAAAAACCAAAATTCACATATGTCAGGTTCCAGAGCCCAGGCTTTTTAACTATTGTAATATAAGCATTGTATTTGGCACAGAGTGTTGGCTGTTTGTTAAGCATATGACCTAAACAATGCAAGAAGGATATATTCAGCAACTATATTATACGCCAGCATTGTAACTGAGGGAGGAAGGGCAGTATTCTGTTTTCTCAGCACTCTGACTTCCCTATCAAAGGCTAACTGCCAAAGAACCATTTACCTACTAAAAGATGTTGCCACTGTAAAGAAAGCCACTGGTACAGGACCACAGCTGGGGTTAGCAACCTATGACCCACCAGCACAGCCCATGGTCCATACAAATCGTCAAAAAAGAAATCAAAAGAAAAATAATATTTTGGGACACATGAAAATTATGTGGAATTCAGATTTCAATATCCAAAAATAAAGTTTTATTGGAACAGAACCATGCTCATTTGCTTACATATTGTCATTATGTTTATGGGTACTTTTGTGCTACAAGCAGAGTTGCAACAGAAACTATATGACTTGCAAACCCTAAATTTATTATCTAGCCCTTTATTGAAAAAGCTTTGCCAGAAGGAAGAATGAGATAACTAAGCCAAACTGGCAGTATGATCCAAGAGATTTTGCCCTACCTTATTATTAATAGTCCCCTGGAGGAATCATCTTATCTCAGCATGTAAAGCAAGCCACTTACCAGCACAATATGGGGGAGGGGGACGGGACTCCCTTTCTACTTCCTGTGTAGCTGGAAGCAAAGCAGCTCAAGCAAGATGCATTCTGAATCCCTCTCACCCCACAGCTAGCCTTGCCCTGGGTCTTTAAAGCTTCAGGACCCCTATATCTTCTTCCTCTTTAACACATTCCACATCAAAGGCTATAAGGAGTAATATTTGAGAAAATGTGTACTCAATTTTATTTATCCAAGGTATCTTTAACATCAAACTGTGGTAAGCTGGGAATTTAGAAATTAAGAAGCTGAGGTCCAGAGAGTTGAAATGATAAAGCTTTGTTATATCTCATACTTATATAGTACTTTCACCTATGTTTTTATTTAATCATTCTTTAACTTTGAATATCAGGTAACCTGTTCATTTCCCCCTCTCTCTTTTGAGAGTGAAGTTTGTGAAGTTTTTTTCCCCCTTGATTTCTGCATTCCACTTTTTGTACTTTTTGACACTCCCTTAAGATATCACTTGTAGCATGTTGCAGCTGTGAAATTGCCTTGTCCAATTTTTTTTAAAAGGAATTGAGTTCTTAATGTGGAAATAAATCACCAAAGCTCCATGACTTGTTTATACATTTTTTTTTAAAGGCAGCTCAGTTCTGATTTGATGAGCTGCTAAGCAGTAAAATGTAATCCACTGCCATATATAGCTTCTTCCCACCTATGAAATCCTATTATGGAAATATGGCTTTCATAGTTCAACTTACACCCAGGCTGCAGGCCCCAGGATGAGTCCTTAAAGAGCAGATAGGAAGGTGGAAACATGAGGCCACCTTGGGCTGACGTTTTCTAAAAATCGTTTTGAAATTAGTTTCTGAGCACTCATTTGTAGTAGGCAAGGCTGCAGGGATAGCATGAAAGAGGGTAGCCGGAGCTGATATGATTGAATTGGAGGAAGGAGAGGCAGGGCCTAAGGACTGAAATTTTACTTTGATATTTTCTCGATGAAGGTCTTCTTAGTAAAGTTTGTAGATTACTTGCTTGCCCTCCCACATTCATGGGAAAATGCATAGCAGTAGTAGGAATACTCAGTATTGTAAAGCTCATTATGTATTTCAACATACTTCCACATCTTTTACCTTCTGTGGGCCTCGCAGAGTCCTTACAGTACGGGGGAATAGGACAGAGATTATTGTTCTTATAGAGATACAAAAATAGAAATGCAGAGAAGTCGAGTGATTTGCCTAAAGTAATAGAGATCATTATTGGCAATGATTGCTGGAATTTTAGTTTCTGGGCTGCAAAAATCTTTGTTTTCTAGCCCATCCCACTAGAATGATCTTTGGAGTCAGGTATACCTGGGTTCAATATTAGCTTTGCCATTTATTAGCTGGATGCCTTGGACTAGTTATGGAATTCTTTATTTTCTCATTTGTAGAAATCAGAATAACAACTGTAGCATTGTCTCATGAAGTACTAGTGAGGCCCTCTAGCACAGTGCCTTACGCATTACAGATATTCAATAGGGTTTTCCTTTAGTGTCCCTGATGCAAATTATTTATGTATCTGTAATGCATATATGTGTGTGCATACACATAAATTTATATAATTTACGTCTTCCCTGAGAGATTGAGGAAACAAAGATTATATTCCTTAAGGTATAATTATATCTCTTAAAAGTTAGTAGCAGAGCCAGAACCAAACAGGCCTCATATACCTCAATTCAGGTCACTCTTTACTGGGGGCATTGCCTGCCACTGGGGGTCCTAAAGGTTTAGATGAATAATCAAAAGGCTTCTGTGTTGAATAGATGTGGATGTAGATTTCTGTAGCCATCTTAGTGAAGATGTACTTACCCTCTAACCTAAATCTCTCTTGCCAACAGGGCCCACTCACAAACTGTACCCTAATCAACATCCCACTAGGATCTTTCAGATCCACAGCATACTTGTCAAAGTGCCTGATCACATAATAAAGACTTGGGTATCTAGGCTGGAACTTGAGGCTATTATTTTTCTTTGTTTCACAAGTTGAACAACAGTGTGTGCAATGTTCCAAGACAGCAGAACTGATAGAATTAAATCTCAAACCCCTCCCCTGCCCCCACAAGCATCTATTTCCTGGAATTACAACACTATCCCCTAAAACTGCTGATAAAAGCCATTTGGAATTCCATGGTGACTATCAGTGAGGAGCTTTGTAGAGAATTAAATATATATACCTAGTGTTCTCTGTGCCTTGCAGCTCTGTGACTGTCTCTAAGATTTCTGGGGTTTAGTGGTTGAAAGTGGATATGTATAGTATGACCAGTGAGAATTTTGGTGGCCCGGCCTGTTTAGGGAGGGTGGAAGAGGCAATCTTGCCAGGCTCTAACACAGCTTTTCTTCTGTCACCCTACAGGTGTTAACAGAACTGAAATCTGACAACCAGAGGCTGAAAGATGAAAATGGTGCCCTCATCAGAGTCATCAGTAAGCTGTCCAAATAGACCAGGCTCCAAATTTAGAAGAGAGGGAAGGGATAGCATTTGCTGTCCCCAGCCCTTGGCTTCCAACCAAAAGAAGTGGATGTTTTGGTGGAAGGACACTTCTTTCTGACCCTCTTCAGTCACCTCTACACTGTACATTTTCTCTGTACTCTCAGTGCCCCATTCCTCCCACACTCCCACCTCCATCCCGAGTTTTATGACAGTTTTAATTGAAGCATGATTGTGATAAGTTGAGCCATCTGGAGAAGGCTTTGGGGAGTACATCAGGCTCAGCTATGGACCCCCACCTTCCTGCTGCTCAGCTACTTTGTCCACATTGGATTTGGTCCAAACATGAAAGGCTTCTACCCAAACCAATACCCTTTAGCTTTTTACACTGACCTAGTATCATCTGATATAGGTGTGTCTTGTGGTAGCTACTCCAGCATCCTGTCTGGGGTGCCAAGAGAAACAGGATGTTGAATTACTCATCAGATGGCCTCAGGTGACTGTGACTCTGTATTGAGGCTCTCTATTCTTCTTCACCTCTCAGGAACTGTCTTAATTTTATTTTTTCTATCAACAACCCAGTGGCATCCCTGCCTAACCCCTATTCCTAACCCCTATTCCTTCCTTCTGCCTAGCCCTTTCTCCAAGGCTCAGGTGTCCCCGACTTGGTTAATTTCTTTCCTTTCTATCCTTTTATATTTTTTTCTCCCTTCTCAGTCCCCTCACTTGATGGTGTAAAAGCTAGAACAGAGCACCTGACCTCAGTTGTCTTTGGCCATTGTAGAACATCTTTATTCTGGAGACAAAAGTCATCACTCTGGTGCCTTGGTGGTGGCACCGCTAGCCCTCTTCGTGAAAAACCAGACCATGGCATAAGTGTCAGCCCATTGATCTCATCTCCCTCATTTTCTTTATTTGGAAAGTTAGGCTCTAAATATTCATTCTGCCTTACTTCTCTTTGGTCTTGTTTTCCTCTCTGTGCTCTGGCATCCGTTCCTAGTGAGAAATGAAGTGGGTGCAAGGAGGAATGAATGACCAGGAGGGTAGGTAGTTGGGGGGTGGATTAGGGTGTAGAAGCAGGCAGGAAAGACACCTCTGTGAGAGTAGAGGATCTGAGGACACCTGCAACATTGTGACAAAGAAGACAGAAGATAATGGCCCACTGGGCTGTGAGAATAGTGGTAAATTCAGTTATTTCTGGTGGTTAGACTTTGGAGAGAAATTTGCATTCTTAAAAGGTAACAGGAAATGGCACTTAATAGAGGTTTCAAGGAATGAGTTACTTTCAACCTACTGATGAAAGTCTTGGAATTTTCAACAATAAAGGCCCAGCTTTTTATTGTTGTGTTTCAGGGACCTCTACTACCACAGCTTTGACCTATGATCAGATAGCCTGTGGGGCTCTGCATTTATTACTCGAGAGTTGGGCAGCTCTCATAACCAGAGAGTTTTTCCTAATATGAACTGAAGTCTGCCTGTGGATTCTCCCCTTAGTCCATATGTATCCTTTGTAGTTCTTTAACCTGACAGTCTTTCAGATATATGCAGTTGGTGGTCTCCCCTTAGTCTTCAAGCTGTTTCCCTAGTCCTTTCATGCTTTTCTTGCCTGTCACATCTTGACCATTTTCCTCTAGACAAAAGTAGCCATTTAAAATATGCCCAGACCTGGAAAGGATACTCCATAAATCCCATGCAAAATTAAGCCATTAGTTCTTGATGATAACCCAATATTAATTCTTGCAGTATTTTATTTTGTTGAAGTTTTATCCCTTGGTTCATTTTGAGTATGCAGGTCATTTAAATCCTCATCCTTTTAGAGTTGCCAGTGACATTCAGTGCTTAGAGTGGTCCATTCTCTTAACATATACTACCTCTGTTCATTTTTTTCCTGAAAATGACAATGTAATTCAGTATGACCGTCTGAAAATCACATGCTCTTTAAACAAAGAAGCTAATTCAAGATTCCAATTTCAGAACAGGAGATAAGTCTCCTCTGGCAAAACCCCATTTTTAGAGTATACAAAATTCTCTCTTCCATTTCCAACCATTTTTTTTTTTTTTTTTTTTTTT